ATCTATCTATCTATCCATCCATCATCCATCCCTCCATCTCCCCATCTATCCATCCATCATCCAACCATCCATCTATCCATCCACCCCTCCATCCATCCCTCCATCCAACCATCTATCCATCCCTCCATCCCTCCATCCATCCATCCCTCCATCCAACCATCTATCCATCCCTCCATCCATCCATCTTTCCATCCATCCATCCTTCTTTCCATCATCCATCCATCTATCCGTCCATCCATCTATCCGTCCATCCATCTATCCGTCTATCATCCATCCATCCAACCATCCATCCATCCATCATCTATCCATCTATCTATCCATCCATCATCCATCCATCTATCATCCTACCATCCATCCATCCATCCTTCTTTCCATCATCCATCCATCTATCTTTTCTATATTCTATATTCTATATATCTATATATCTATATATTAAACCAGACTCTGTCAAGAGACACTTTTGATATACCCACCGACTATAATGTAACTACAATATTGCTTTGATAAATCTTTGGGCCAATCTTTTGGGACTTGAGCTCATTCGAGATCACACTGAGTAAAAGGCAAACAAACAAAAACAAACAGACCAAACCATGTGAAGACTTGGTCAAACATGCTGTCTGTAAACAAAGTGGTCATGGAACAGTAGGCAGACTGGCTCAGGTCGGGGGGGGGGAGGGGGGGGGTCAATCCTAGGCTCCCCTGTTGTAGATGTTAATGTGTCTCTAGATGAGGCTCTTATTCCCACGTTGCTGCTAACACTCAGTCCTGGGAGTGGGTGTCCTCCTCGGGCTGGTGCTGAACTTGGATGAGTGAGAAAGTTGCATCAGGTAGAACATCGGGAAGTACAGTATGTGCCGTACGGGCTGCTCAGCCAGAGGAAGGTCCAAAAATTCAATGGTTCAGAATGTCTCATTTTGAATTGTTTGTAGTTTTATTTTTTGCTGCTTCTGGCTTGTCAGACGGTGACAAGAGTATCCACAGCGTTGGCTGAAACTGTCAGAGTACCCAGCACTTATTTGTAGGACAGTAAAGGCATCACTGGCATTACTTTGTGTCAGACTATTTAATTGATCTATGCTAATTTTGACAATTTGATTAGATTTCAAAATGTGATATTAAATATAATACCTAATAACCTCAGAGTTGCCCCCTCCCCCGACCCATTCTGTAGATACAGCACAACTATTACAGAACCCCTCTCCACTTAGACACATTCACAACCATCTCTTCTACGGCCCTTAAGCCACTTAGACACAACCATCTCTTCTACGGCCCTTAAGTTAGATACTCTACAAACGGACTTACTTGTTTTAAGACCAGTAAATGATCCTGTTATTCTACAGTTTCCTGAGCTCGAACACTTCACCACTGCTATATTATTATATTTTCATTGTGTTTCAGGTGACATTCTCCAGGTACTAATCCTCAGGAAATATGTAACGTCGCAGGTAAGCAAACATACAACGATGATGATTTGCTTTTTGCCTTGGCTAACATTAATCACGGCGACATTACACACTTTGTGTGACTTTCACAACCTGATGAACTGTTACAACGAACAAGCCCCCGGCTGCTCTGCCAACAGCCTAATGGCCTGCTCTAATGACTGTTTGTCTTGTTTTGTGGTAATTGGGATGCCACTGTCTCTACAGCAAAGGCTCTGCTATCTTTTCTCTTCATTCTTTCCCTTCTGGAATTCTCCCTCCAGTCTCCTCTGGGCCCTCAGCTTCTGAAGCTGGTGCTGGTTTTTTCCACTAATGATATCCTAATTTTTTTTTTCCTCCATCCCTCTCTCTCTTGTTCTGGACAATGGCTGCATGTTTGAAGTTGGACCAGAAACTGACCTGGAGATCAAACTGAAGACAACATGCAGAGAAGAAGTTACACCCAGATGTTCCTCCTACACTCTCTCCATACTGTACGTGCTGAAGCACAGTGTTCCATTGTTAGTGGGAGGAAAAGCAAATACATCATTTCCATTAGATTTAGTGATGGTAACAGACCTAATATGTCAATCAAATACTCCTGCACGTACTTAAAAATGTGCTGTAGTGATCTGATAACACGCTGATCAGCCAGTGTCGTGTGTTTTCTGATATTTCAGTAGGTCGACGCTGTCAGCATTTTAGCATCAGGGATGAGAACACAAGAAAGACTGTTGGATTTATTCTGATATAGAACTTATAACTTCTTTTTGTGTTAATATTGTACATGGAGATTGTGAACATTTGTTTAGCCTAGAGCAAGAAACAGTATTTTCAACTAAAATCACCGTAAATATAAAAGCTCTGCTCACTTTCTGGTCAACTGTCAACTATGCAGACAATTAAATTTTATTTTTCTCTATAATTATTTTACCTCTAGTCTGAGCATTCCCAAAGTGGTATGGTGTGCGATCTGCCACTAGGAGGTGCACAGTAATAAAAAATATGATAGTGGTTTAGAGTGTTTTTTGTGTGTGTGTTATAAAGTGTGTGTTTTCTGGTCATTTAAACATGGTGTGCGATCTGCCACTAGGGGGTGCACAGTAATAAAAAATATGATAGCGGTTTAGGCTATTTAAAGTGTGTGTTTTCTGGTCATTTAAAAATAATTCTATATGAGTTGGGGGTGCGTCAATCCGGTTGGAATAAGGAAGTGGGTCGCGGCCAATACAGTCTTGGAGCTGCTGGTCTAGTTGATTGTATTTTATTGTATTTTTTTTTTGTACTTTTTATATGGTCTACTGTGACAAAGCTGTTTGTTCCAAGTTCGGAAAATTTTGTTTTTGTTTGGATAGAAATATCTTTCTGTGACACCAACTGAAGAACCTCACTGATGTCTGGGTTATTTAATACTCACTTCAGTTTATTGCATATTTGTTGAAAAACGCCCCAAAAATGTATCCGTATTGGTAGTCAATGTTAGCTTGTTCTCAGATAAAAAAATACCATACTGGGACAACTTGTTTTGCGTGTGATTTGCGTCTGTGAAGCAGCTGGAAGAGAACTAAACATTATGTCGACCCTCGTACTGACCAGAGACTGGAGCTGCTGTTTACACAGTAGCTCAGGAAAGTTAAGACACCTGCAGAAGCAGCAGCATATGTCATATTTCACCACTTTTGCAAGGTCTTTCTCCAAAGTCCACAAAGGCCAGCACTCTCCCCTGTCTGCACACTCGCAGGAGTGAGATAGCGCGCTGCCGTTTGAGCAATCATTTCTCAGTCCGGCCGAATTCGTGCTGACGCTCCAGTTTGCTTTCTTGAAACTCCCCTCTTCCGCTTTTTAATCCTCTGAGGGGAAGCAGAGAGAGGGGGACGATAGAGGCAGAGACCGGGACTGAATGCTGACGGGGACATAACTTGCTCTCCCTGCATTCCTTGTTTACAGTCTCCCTCCCTGCTGCTACACCCTCCGCTCTCAATGGAGCCATAAAAAACAAATAGGGGCTTTTAGAGAAATTGCCTGTGCACTGAAGATTAATAACGGTTGCACCAGTTCACCCAAGAAAGTCTCCAGAGGCAAGAAGGATATTGGAAGATTAAAAGTACCCCATCCCTAAATTGGAATGATTCAGTGCTCAGGCCGCTCTCTAACCAGCTTACTGGGAGTCAAGGCCTCTGTCGACCTGTCAGACAAAGAGCATCATTAACTATTTACCTGTGGATGAAGATTTGTAGTGTGCTTAACACTGACGAGCTGAGTGTGATCAATCCGCCGTGTCTCAGCTGTGAGTGCGGTGGTCTATGGCTGAGGCAGAGGCAGGCGAAAAAACACCGGTGATTGGACACGAGGTGAGACCCTTTCACCGGTACCCATTAGTTTAACTAGCCAGTTGGCAGACGCACAGAGCACCAGTTGCGACCCATTACTGTCACTGAATATGACTAAGGTATGGTATAAATCTAATGGCCCGGCAATTTCCCCCTCATTATGGCTGCACACCATTTTGAATCTGAAAATACATGTAGACCTGTGGATCAGTCTGACCTCATGGATTAAGTAGGAACATTAAGATGTGGCAAATCATTAGTGGCATTTCCTTCGTTTGTTCTTGGTTTTCATGGCACTTGGCAGCCAAGAAGCTGCATTAGTGTGATCTTTTTATTCTCCTTCATTTGACTTGAAAAAAAAAAAAATGTATAAGTTGCATATATATCATTAAAAAAACGTGTTTCATTCTGTAATTTCAAAGAAAAAGTTTTTTTAAATTGATTTTGATTTCTTTGACCTTGTAGAGAAGTTGCATATATATCATTTATAAAAAAACGTGTTTCATTCTGTAATTTACTCAGTCACCTTTTTCTGCTTTTCCATGTCGTGGGTCACTGAGGTTGGTGGTACCAGTCGCTGGTCCTCTAATGTTACATGCAATAATTAGAATGAATAAAACAACATTAACCAGACTCGACCAAGCAAAAATGTTGATTCAATATTACATATATTGACAATTTTGTATTATTATTTCTACATTATTCTACTAAATCAGCAGTGTGCAGAATATATATTTATTGTAATAATATTTTTATTTTTTAATTGAAATAATATTAGAAATAATAATTTTGACTGAGGTACAACAAGTGATTAAGAGCATTTAAACTTTTCAGGTTTATTAACAAAGACATTTGAGAGATATTTTTAAATTTTTTTTCTCTCTGCTTTAATTCATACAAAACGCTTTGTATATGTATATATAATTATATATATTTGGCTAAAATAAATGTTTTTCAATTTTAACTGACTCCAGACTAAACCTTAGCTATCCTGGACTTTTAGGGATATTGCTAATTCATTTTTACTTTTGTTTACAGTCAGTTATGGCATCTTTCTGGGATGTCTTTCATAGAACTTTAAATACTAATCTGTATATATTTATATAAAATTATAAATGTATACATAAATAGCGCCTGATATAAGTTTCTTACTCATTTCTAAGGCACCAATTGCCTCTGTTCATAGTTCTCGCCTTTTGTTTCTATGGACACACGTACACACGGTCTCTACGGTTGCCTGGCAACCACCGCACACCAAAACTGGATTGTTTTTGCGACGTCGCGTTTTCTTTTTCGGCTGGAACTCATTAGAAAACACCTGCGTGGAAATGCCGAGAAAGCAAAAGGAGATTAAAGCACAAGCCTTCACGGTGAAGGCCACCATGAAGAACTCTGTGGTGAGTTTTCTTCTGCTTATATGACGTTGTTTTTAGCCGTGGTTTTAGCATTAGCCCCCGGCTCAGAGTTAAGTCAGTTCATGTGTGCCGCGAACACGACAAACTCTCAGAATGGAAACCCTTTATTTATGAAACACAGATACACGTCAGCCGCAGTTTATTTTAAACTAAAGTATCAAAGACAAAGTTAGACAAAAAAGTAGTACAGAGAAAAAATAATTAGACAAGCCAAAGTAAACAAAAGAAACAACAACAAAAAAAGAAAATTTAAATTTGAGTAAGTAATGCCTCAGTTTACATAAATTACACATATATTTATGATTTATCAGTTGCATCTATATGGCTGTTCTGTATATTTATGATTTAACTTTATTTATCAGTTGCATCTATATGGCTGTTTTTATGTATAGTTATAGATTTTAATTACCTGTTTACGTGACTCTCTTGAAAGTACAAATGTTTAAAATGTCTAAAATGACCATATAATCCAAATTAACTTATTATGATAACTTATATAACTTATACAACTTATATATTGTTTGTTCGTTTTTTCTGTTTGTGTTAGTCTGATATCATGGCTGACTGTGTAATTAACATCTGTAGGTTAGTAGCATATAAAACCAGGATATCTTGACACGTACGGAGAGCACCTACACTACAAGGCCAAGCACCACTTGTAGTGTGTACATAGACCACTAGGGGATGCAGACTGCTAGTTGAAAACATATTCTTTCGTAAATCCCATCCAGACGTTGATGACTAACTGTTGGGGAATCAGAACATGGAATGGACTGCATCTCTGAATAAAATGATTTTGAAAGGTAATAATAAAATCAATCTGCTCAGATATGTCTAACAAAAACAGTCTGGAAAGAGATGAAATAAGCATCTTTGTAAGAACATCCCTAAACCATTACAGTAAATTGGACTCTGCTTATGAAATAATTACAGATTAAAATCAAACTGCAGTATCAGTGGGAGACCTAATGTTTTCCGTAACCTAAATTCCTTGTTTAATTCCAGTAGTAATTACCAAGGCAGCTGGAGGTCACCTCACTACAAACTGTGACTGCGGGTTGTATTAAGCTAATGACTTATGAGGAGGTTGTATTTTACTGGAAAGTCTCAGTAGAACTGTGCCGGAAGCATACATCCAAGGACAGTTAATCCGGGCCTTCCTATCCTTTCATTTACTGGGAATGAAGATGGATCAGGAAAATGTAATAGGTTTGTGTAGGAGAAGGAACTCATCCTTATTGAGTTGTATTGATTGGACGGTAAAACCAGGATTTGTGTGGTCGGAAAAAAAAGGTTATTTATAATAAGAGTGAATGTGGGGTAGGTGGTTTGTATTTGTACATTATAAGACCCCGATGAGTCTTGTTTTTCCGTAGTGGTGTGTATTTTTGTGAATTGGTGGAAATGTGAAATTGAATACTTCTACTTCTGCTACTGAGGTTTTCTCAAGTATTTTTGAGTATTAAAGATTGCTATGTTAGCGCAGTTTCAAATACTGGTGTCTTGCCAAATGAAATAATCACTGAATGTAATCCTATATCCTTGTTAAAGTTCTGTGGAGTGAGTGGTTGGATCAGCACTAGGTCTTTTAGTGTAGTACTAATTAAAAAAAAAAAAAGCTTTTTCTTCCAAATATCTGACCCTCCGACCCACACCCCGCAAAATGAAACACTATTGAGAACCTGATAACATGTACTGTATATTTCTATCTGTACAAACCACTGTATGAGTTGCTGCCACCTAGTGGCTGGAGGCTTGTCATCATTACATCAAGCAGTACAGCAGTGGTATACTTATGTCCGGTGTGCCATATTCTATTGGAAGCCCCTCTCGCCCCCCCCATCCCCCGGCACCTCACCGTGCCCCCCGGAGGGGCCCGCCCCACTATTTAAGAAGTACTGAATTAAAGAAAAAACCAATAGTACTCAGATTTTCTTAGAATTTATGAATAAATTAGATAATATTGTCGTAAATTCTGAAAGTGTGTGTGCTGTCGCCTGAGAAATGCAGCTAACTATGCAACCGTCAGCAGTATTTGTCCTCTAATCTGTCTAGGGTTATGTGTGTCATTGTCATGTACTTCAAGTGCCTGTTGTGTGTAAATTGGTCTTCCTCACTGATCCACTTAGTTCCTCTGCAGACAGCCAGTGCCCGGGCTTGTTCCCACTACACTGAAGAAGTGGCTCTAGTGATAAAGAGCTGCAGAAGTGCACAGTTCTGATGTGAAATTGACCCCCCCCCCACTCTCTCTCTTTCTCCTTCTGTCTGTGGCAGTTATTGCCTTGAGATGCAAAAGAGGCAGTCAGGGCCATCATTGACTTCTTCCTTCCTTTTTTTTTTGAAGGTCATAAACAAATCTCCTGTCAAGAGCCCTCACGAAAGGGCTCCTGCAAAGCCCTTTAACATTCACCCTCTCCCCTGACGATCTCCTACGCATGAAACATGAGTGATACTCATACATTTTTTCCCGTGTCTGTTGGCTTCTGTGTTTTTTTTTTGTTTGTTTTTTTTCCCCCTACCTCCCCAGTGGTCTGCCCCCTATCGCTCCAGAGGAGGTGGCTTTGCAGGGAGCTGTGATTTGTGGGTAGCGACAAGGCCATTCCAAGCCCTGAAAGGGTACAGGGGACTTGAAGCATAGGCTTATTAGGCTTTAACGTATTTGTGGTCATAGAAATTGAATCAATAGCACAGGCCCTTTGAACGACCCCTCACCCCCCCCCCCCCCCCCCCCTTTTTTTGACTGTGACTGTATGATTTATGGAGAAACAAAACAGATGGCCTTTACATTCTGGTTTTATTTGGTCAACTGGTGATATACAGTACAGTAAAGAACGTTAATAAGGTGCGTAACGTTTTGGCTTAATTGTTAATTTTAATTCTGACTCCTAGGGCTGCCAGAATTTGAGGAAAAATCATCATCACAATTGCTTATTCTCTCTATTCTCTATCCTCAACCATAGCATTTTTGCACAAAAAAATGTGATATTCTATTAAATGTTTATTTTATATATTCCCCACTTTTGAACTTAAAATAAGTATGCAAGTTTAATATTCAACATATTGTACTAAAGTAAATAAAATCAGCAATTTAATTTTGCACTTTCAGAATTAATGTACAATTTGCATAAACAAAATATGTATACACATTAAAACACAAATCTTGTCCAAGTATTCAACAGTTTGACAAACTAACTTTGACCAAAAATAATATTAAAAATAATGAAAAATAATACCAATTATAACAATGCTGTAAATGTTTGATGATAATAATAACAGTGATATATAAAATTTCTAATTGTATTTTTATGTTGCACAGAGTCAACTGAAGCTCCTTCCTCCTCCTCCTCCTTCTGAAATATTTCCTTCAGATTTTCCAATTGTCCTTTCCTTCTCTTAATCCTTCCCTCTTCCTCTCGGTGTCCTCTAACATTTTGAAAGTCTTAAACCTTTTCTCCCAGTTATCATGACAACACACGTGTGAGGCGATGAAAGTGCTTAATGTCTCTTCACATCTCACCGCCCACACACAAGAAGACACAGCCATGATCCTCTTAAAGATGCTGTTCCGCACAGTTGACCTGAGAGGGCACCACGATACAAACCACACCTGATCCCTGCCTCAACTCTGCTGTGTCGGGGTCTGAGGATGGCAGACTGGTTTTATGTCAAACATACCTCATTTGTTGTTTGATTGCCCTTTGGGGTAAAAAAAAAAGTGACCAAGAACAGCAACATTTCCAGATCTAATACATCTGGCCAAGTCCTCTCTCTCTCTCTCTCTCTCTCTCCCTGGACCACTCTGAGCCCTGGCTCACCCCACTAACCCCAGGGGACAGATGAAGACTCCATGCTAGCAAACGTGAGCCCCATGTTTATTCTTTCCACAGTCTCCAACAGCATCATCATTACTTCCCTGATGCCAGATGTCTTGGCCCCCGATGTTGTCGGCCTCTTTGTCTTCATCCCCGTCTCCTTCTCCTGCTCCTCTGCAGGAGCTTCATTCACTCAGGCGGGTCATTGTAGATGAAAACGTTTTTAAGCCCAGGACTGAAGGAATAAGCTACAAGACAATTACAGTTTCTAATAATCCGAAATGAAATCGATGGAATAAAATAATGCAATAATAAGAGGTCTCAGAATGTACCGCGTACTCCCTTCTGATTGAACTGTATTGCAGTGAATTGAGTTTGTGGTGTGGTGAATCTTTTTTGCCGTTCGTCTCTGCTGTTTGCCTTTGAGGTTCCCACCCCACAAGTATCATCTTCGTTAATAAAGTCATCTGAACAAATTAAACAAGTGACGGTTTAAAAATGATTCTTAATCAAGGCTCCAATGAGTTTGGAATTTCGCTGCAGCCTTATTAAATGTAATCTCGGTTTAAATGCAATAAAAACCTTGTTAAAATGCAGTGCTTAATTAGATTTGCTTTACAATTAATTAAGATGTAACACATTGTCTGACACTGTCTTTTCAAGCTTACAAAGTCATTTTCTTTTTGAAATACAATCATGCAAAGCATTTCCCTCAATAGTTAACAACCATAACAGGGTTTCCTTTAGGTTCGTTAAGCCGTCCATTATCTCTTTGGTTATTTCTGATGACGTTGGCTTCGTTTTGGTCATGGTGAATCAGTGATGCCCAGCATGTTCCCTGTCAATGTATGGTCACGCTATTTTATTTTTCACTATAACAAAACTGACCGACTTCAAAAGAACAATAAGTTTAGATTTTTAGCCAAAATCTAATTTGACCTACATATAGTTGTGAATAAAAACATGGCTGCTGTGATTTTGACAGTTCAAAGTTCACCCGCATTTTATTTTTTATTTCATTTTTAATGTTTCTGTGTGTAGCCCCACCTATCTTCATACCCAAGTCATTGCAGTGTCTTCACTGTCTGTCATGATTTCAGCTCAGATGTCATTGTCAGAAGGCCAACCTCTGGTCTTGACTTAATCAATAACTTTTACAGATAAGGAAAC